GGTTCGTGTTTAATATATTCATAGAAAAAGTTATATGCTATCTGAGGACTTAAAAATGATCTCGCGCTTCCCGTATCGATCATAATTTTTGCATTAATTTCAGGAATAAAAATATAAGGTAGTTTTAAATTTGGATCGCAATTCAATTCTATGATTTCGTATCCTTTGAGGCGGCTATGGGAAAATTTTCCATAGATTGAGCGACATCTTGTTCTGTAACTATTTCATCATTAAACTGTTGTTGCATATAGTTGTCACAGTCAATGGGGTCACAGTATGTCTCGTTGTATGTATCATCGTTGTCACAGTTAAAGTTAATATATTGTTCATATTCGTCATTATTATTTAAATTTATTTCATTTATTTTAAAACCTTCTTGTGGTTTAGGGGGAACTGTTCTCATTGAAATGTCGGTGGATTGATAACGCGGACTCTGTATTTGAGGGGGTCTGTAGCCGAATTGTTGATTATTACCTATCGGCGGACGGTAACCAAACTGTTGCTGATTTATTGCTGTATTTTGCCTATTTCCAAACTGTTGTGGTGTCATTGTAAAATTAGGCCTATAGCCGAACTGGTTATTACCAAATTTTGGTCTATATCCAAATTGTTGAGGAACGGCTTGGTTAAAAGCTTTATAATTAGTTTGCAAAGGCTGATTGCCTAACTGTGGACGGTAACCAAAACTTGCTTGACCGAATTGAGGTGGAATACCGAATTTAAATTTTGTATTATTATAGAAAGGTGATGGTGACATAAATTTAAATCCGGGGTTTATATGAGAATTTTGTGGAAAATTGTTGAATTTAAATCCTTGATTTTCTGGCTTAGAAATATTATTAGTGCCATGAATTCGGTTACGCATTTTATATTGATCATGGAAATTGACTTCTTCTAATACGACCTTTAAGGCGTCTTCTAAAGTTTCAGGTGAACGTAGTCGCACAATACGGACCATTTCCTCAGGTAAGTTATAAAGAAAAACTTTTAACGACAGGTTATTATAAATAGTATGTTTTGCACTTTTCAAATTTTCGTCTGATAATAAATTTACTTTTGATATTAAGAGCGATCTAACGCTTTGAATTCTATTACAAAATTCTAAATAAGTTTCACCATTTTTTAATTTTAATGATTCGAGTTCAATACTAATACTTTGTTCACTACGCGGATCCCCAAAATGTTGTTCCAATAGCGCTCGCAATTCGGACCAAGACAAAACATCCTCCCGTTCCGATAAGAGCGCAGCTGCGTTATCTATGAGCCGGCTGGTTACGGCGTGATACACGTATAAATTTTGTTCCTCTGAACCTCTATACCTGCTAATTACATATTCACTTTTTCGTAAAAATAAATTCAATTGTCTTTTATCGCCCCCGTAAAGTGGAATAAGGCGTAATATTTCATTTGGAATAGCAATAATTGGATTTTCTTCGGGCATTTTATTTACTATAAATTAGCAGATTTAGAGAAAAACACACACAATAATTATAACACAAATAGATTTAATTCCTTAAATTATAATTTAATAACACGAAAATGAAATAACAGTTATAATTCTTTAAAATACTAAATAGTAAAGTGATAGTTTTGTATAAATTTTTAATTTTTACTTAATTTTATTTATTTTGTATAATCATGTAATTCGATTTTTATATATTTAAATAGATTTCTTTTTTTTACACTTAACACAATACCAGAAACGTTTTTCCACGAAAGAGTTTTATTTCGAGAGTAACGAGGAAATATGAAAACACAGGGAAATGTAAAAGGAAGGCGAAAAGTTTTACTCACCAACCGATCAGCCCCATATTCAGCTTTTCCGGAACCCGTTCTTGACAAATTTGTTTGTTCGAGGATTCACTCGTGCTATTCGCGCCGCGATTACTTAAACAGGCGAATTTGGACACCCGTATTTTAATGAAAAAGCGACGCAGCCTTAAGCGAATCCTACCGGCTGCGCCAGTCAAGTTTTGGGAGCTCAAACTTTATTTTTTAAAAAAATATAAAAATACAGAAAATTAAATCTAAGCCTTAATACTAGGTGCTGCCGATTTGGAGGCTAGCAAAAGAATGATTTATTCTTAATAAAAACTGTCCAAGAGGGCCAGACAGCGACGCCCACGTATTCACAGGAATTGTATCCAGGGTGCTGACTAAACCCCCTTTAGTCTAATACAGAAGGGCGAGGGGGTAACATAACTACGTACTTTCATGTATTTATATTTACATCTTATATGATGATAATAATAACCACGTTGTTTGCAGCTATGTCGTTGTCACTAATATGCTCCTATTGGTCTGGGATATATATTTGTCTGATTTTCTACAAATATTATGATATTGTGACAATTAAACATCCTATATATGCTTCATGTGTTTGAGTACGAATCGGCGGTACATGGAAAAACTTTTGTAAGTTTATGTTGTACCGTTCTGATATATTAAATTATTTGTATTCGTTTTGTTGAATAAAAATAAAATAAAATAAATAAATAAATAAATGTTTGTAAATAAAGTAATAAAAAACGTGTAAAACTATTTATAATCTGTTTGATGAATTAATGGAAATCATGTAATATGATGCCAGTAGCGACTAAAGCTCAGTTGTTTCCGATGGGGATATGTCAGTAGGAATATATGGTGGGGAATGGGACTAGAGGAAAAAATGCCTAATGGAGAAGTTTTGTATACATACATATACAGATACAGCCAATTTCAGATAAAAAGTATAAGGACGAATTTAGTGCATTTCGTGAACTTGACAGAAACAACAGAGACAACATAGAAATAAGTCTTACAAGGAATTTAAAAATCACAATATTTTTTTAATTATATCAGAATTTAAGCAGAAATTTCAGTATTAATTATAAGAGGTACTTGTATTTGGTAAGCTCTTAAAAATCCGTTCAAAAGTTGTTCTATCACATCATTCGTTAATGTTATAAATGAATATTCTAGACTCTTCAATATTAGTGTAGACTATTCCAATTAATCTCCGTTCACTTCGATTGAGAAATCTGATTCAACAATCGGCTTTCTCAATTGAACTGTACAGAGGTTTGTCCAGGTTTGTCCACATAAAGCTTTGAATAGCTACCGCCGGATCCCTCTAAGGTTTAGTTTAACTATCCCCATTCAACGAGTACTACTGTTTCAATCTAAATATGATTGTAGTATTAGTTTCATATTTCAAATTCGCCTTATGTCGTTCGACCTTTGAATGTCAAGCAAATCAATGTTTGATTACAGTTTTGCGGACATAATCTATTATATAATCTAAGGATCTAAGTACGTATACAAAATATATGTTATTAAGTATGTCAAGAGTATTTCGGTGCAGCAGCGCCACCATCTAGAGTATTTAACGTCAATAATGTCAGATTCTTCAAACGCTGATAGCGATGGTAAAAGAAATAATGTATTGCACACTATACTTTATATTGTACTGTTATGTGCTTTATGGACATTTTTGGTTTTTCAATTTTTCAAATTCTTTAAGTCACTCACTCCTATAAAATTTCCCATTTTCATAAATAAAAAGGTACCATCGATGTATGTACATTGAATCCCCTATTCTACATATCCCTACTGAATTACGTCGATTTTCAGGTCGTAGGTACTAACGTGTGCTAATATATAGATCACATTTTCTACCGTTATCGTACATACTAGAAATACCTTTATCTTATTTTTTGATGTAAAACGGTTGGATTCAAAATTAACTGAAAATACCTACTTGGAGTAAAATAAAGAACCAATGATGTGGTGTTTTCGATTAGTACAACTGAAATCTAACCATCAACCTATTCAGTGGGTAAAAACAGTTGTAAAAATGAAAAATTATCACTCCACCAAGTTATATACTAAACATATTTCAAGATAATACAAGACTATTGAACATGGTGAAGTTATGTTACTAGTTCAGAATTCAAACACATTACACATTACTTTGAGCAGCTTGGTGCTCGGTGGCTCGGTGGCGTAGTGGATAAGCGCCGCGGCCTGCGACGTAGTCGTTAAACAACTTTCGCAAGGGTCGGTCACGGGATGGGTGACCAAAAATTATTATCTCGAGCTACTCCGTGCTTCGGAAGGCACGTTAAGACGTTGGTCGCGGCTGCATTTGCACTCGTTAATACCCTCCAATCCGCATTGGGCCAGCGTGGAGGGTCATGGCCCATTCTCCTTAACCATCCATATGGAAGGCCTGAGCCCCTGCAGTGGGGACGTAAAAGGGTGGTGATGTGACACATTACTTTTTATTATTATTTTTCATAGGCACATCTCCTATTTTTCTGTGATTGGTAATCGTATCTCAAATTCTAATTTAATAATTTAAATCTATATTATAATAAATAGAAATGAAAGATATATTGTTCTAAAAATAATTCTATTTTCAAATTTAAGCTAAAAACATAATGTAAAAGTTTACCGGAATAGAATACTGCAAATAGTAATCATATTGTTTTTTCTTTAATGTCTATTTGATGATCATAATTTAATAATATTATACTCGCGGTAAATCAATCGCCAATATGTTACCGGTTAGTCCATCTATTTCTACTGAAATATGTCCAAGTATTACTACTATATAATTTTAATAGGTATATTGTCATTGGTATTATCAGGGATAAAAACCATAAGTAATGTTCAAAACATATATTTTATATAACTAGATGACCTGATGTACTTCGTATCACCTCTCACTGTTAAATTACGAATTACTTTTTAAAAGCAAAAACCTAAATCGTAAAATAATTTTAAGGGTAAATGTTTTAGTGGCAATAATAGTTGGACTTATCATTTTTAAAGTACAAAAGTAAGGAACCTTTGAAAGATATGCTGTCGTAGTTCACCAACTTATCGATACAACTATCTTCTGAATCATAACAATATTCAGGAACAAATACCACTTCAACAACTTGTTTATGAGATAATTGGTCGATAGAACTATATAAAATTCATCGAGAAAAAGTATAGAAAGATAGATCTGCAGTATGAAATCGAATAAACATTTGCTACTCGATAGATAATTTAGTATCTATAACCAAAAATAATATATCATACGATAAACATTGTTACCAATCGGAAAATAATTGTGCGTTCACTCTTTTCAAATAACTATTATTTTTATTTATTATTTCAAAACGTCCGACTGATTTATGGTATTGTATATATTTCACACATCAGTAAAAGACATGGGATATGAATTGAATCCATCGTTATCATTGCGGCTAATGTAAAAAAATATGTCTCAAACTCGATAAAAATAACAGAATACATTCATCTATGGATTTTCAAAGAAGGATTTACAGGCACATTCTTGAACGTCATTGTCACCCTCGCCATCGCCTGCGCTGGAAGCGGTCCTCCTTAAAGTTTGTACTTGAGTCTGCAGACCGAGTATACGTAGCTGAGCCTGTTCGAAGTTATCATTCAACCGCTGGATCTGGCACTGCATGCGGCATTGAAGCTAAAAATAGAATATTTTTGATGTTATAGAATCTACTCGAAAAGGAAAGTATTTATTTAGGCGACAAGCGTATGACTAAGTACAGGAAGATTTCTTTAATAAATATTAAGAGTTCAACTCGGTGATTAATGGAAATCAATATCGATTTACAATAACATTTTACTTACTTCCTCGCGATCTTTCTCAGCAGTCTTCACTTGAGCCCTGGATGCTGCTAGTTGTCTTTCAAGCTCCGCTATAGACGTTTGCATACACCTAATAAAAACAATTAGTCAATAAAGAACGTCATTAAAAATGTTATTAAACTGCTGAATACCGAATTATTTTTCAATGCAATGCGAAATATTTTCTCCATAGCAATTTTAATGCACATCGATTTTGCAACCACATAACCGTTCCCGACGGCACAACTGGATATGCTATGTTATATATTTCACGTGAAGTGCACGAAATGCACCAAATTCGTCTTCGTCTCGTTTGTATGGGTAACGCTACTAAAAAATCTTTTCCCACAAAAATTCCATACAAAACTCACTTTCGTATTGTCTCAGTACGATCGTTAGCTCTTTGCAAAGCCCTTGCTGCTTCATCTCTTGCTCTGTCCAGTTCACCGCCAATTTGGGCACATTCGTGCATTTTCTCCTGCAAGCGTTTTTCATTTGCAAGGACAGATTCCTCCATCCTAATTACGTTTGCTCTGAAAACAAAAATAATAATTTGCACCAATCACTCGTATGATAGAGATGTATGTGAATGCTTATTCACTAGTTAAATCTTACTTAAGTCTTTCTACTTCACTCTTAAGAGCCATGTTATTTTCTGTAAGCTGTGTGATTCTCTGCTGAGCCAATGCCAATTGCTTTTCATCACCACCCCTCTCCGGGGGCTTCTCTGGAGCTTTTAGGCTATTATGTAGCAGAACGTGAACCTAAACACAAAAGAAAATAAATGAATGTCTCTATTAAAATACCGAAAAATTAATACATGTTTAGTCTACTTATTAGATAATATTATGTAAACCTTTTCTCTAGCACAATTCAATTCTCTCGCTAGCTGTTCGGCGTTGTGCTCAGCTATAGCCTGCGCTTGTTGCGCATCTTTTAATCTCATTTGAGTAGCTTTCAGCAAATCTGGGATGGGAGCCAACTCTTGCAATTTTTCTTGGAATTTAATCTGAGAAAGTAAACAGATATTGTTATCATCGCTAAGATGTTAAAATACCAAACGACCAATAAAATGATCACTTAGTTTTTACCTTGACTTTCTGGATCTCTAAATTGATCTGTTCACTTATTCTAGTGTTATCCATATCCATCATGTCCATTTGCCGGCGTTGTTCTTCCACCAGTTGCTGAGCTTGCAAGTACTGCGAATAAACTCCCCATTGTTTTATAATTATATTAAACTTCTAAGATAAAACTTGTTATTTTATTATATTTTTCATTAAGAATATATTAACTCTAATTGAATTTCCATACCTTAACTCTGTAATCTTGAAGCTGCTCATTTTGTTCTTTCATTAAAAGTCTTAACTCGTCAATCTCTTCTCTAGCTTCCCTGTAGCACTGTTTGAGTGCTCGAACGTTCACTTCTTGTTCAAAAGCCTGTTCCTTCGAACCTAACAACATGTTAGTGTGAGTTGCTAATCCTTCGAACTTCATTTCCAGCTCGCGTAATTTGTTCTGAACTTCTCTGTGCTGACATCTTTCTTTTTCTAATTCTTCCTTTTTCTTCAATAATTCAGTTCGGAGCATAGCACACTAAATAAAACACATTTTATTACCTTTAACACAATTTAATGGTTGTAAATATATAATTAAAAGAAATTGTTGAATATTCTTATATAAGAATATTATTTCATCTGTTAGGATTTTATGTTGTTAATAATGAGAAATACGGACATCACACTCATCATGTTTGATATTGTATGCTACCGCTATATTTTCGGAATCAAAGGTGCCTAAGGCATTACTTTAGTTTCAATTTAAGGTTATCAACTAACATTAGCTAAAAATATGGCCAACACCTCTAATTGTAACCGCCGTATTAAAATATGATAAATCGAAACTATTATCCTTTTTCAGGTATACAAAAAAAACGTATAAAAACAGACTTACTTCTGTGACTTTGGTTTTGAAATTCTCCTCCGTTTGCCGCAATTGAATCGTCAATTTTGCTACTTCCCTTTCCGCTGGTGTCTATAATTTAATACAATTGGTTTTTTCAACATAGTAATATAACATCACATAAAAAAACTTGTAAAATTACATACATAATGGCGAGCAGTGCCAAATTTGAAAAAAAAAATAGAATAATTTTCTGTGTACTTATAATATTCCAATCCTAACATTTGCCAATACTACAAAAGCGGTAGAAAAAATTTTATTCACTCATATGTACAGTTTATACGTTAGATTAGTTATACTTTTTACAGTTTTAAAGACTACTTATCTGTTATAGGCAGTATAAAAAAAAAGGTGCTTATAATAGTTATCAACGTAGCGACTCTACAATTTTGGCTTAATATTAAATATAGTTTGGCGTTAGGTTGTATTGTCTTACCGGAGGAGCATTAGGGTTGCATGGGGCCGGGCAAGGCGGACAAACACCACACTAAAAATACAAATCAAACATTAATTTTAATTTAATTAATTTTAATTAATGTTTGTTGTGAAGTATTATTATTGTGAAGTAAGAATTAATGTTTGTTGTGAAGTATTATTGTATATTCTTGTGAAGTAAGAAAAATAGTTAAATATTTCTGAAGATCTTACAAAAAATTAATGAACATCCATTACGCAACCACTAAATTTCAGTTTCATTTGTCAAATACGATTCTGTTAACACCACTATTAGTCCTTTGATATAATAAAATGCTGACATGTCACGTTGTGATACCATATAACTTATGTTCAGAAAGGATAATAGAACCATTGTACGAAGTAAAGATATCTAATATCTTGCTCAACAATAGCATTAAACGAAGCTTAACGAACCATACTAATATCAAAACTACTATGAATAGGCTCTTATCTAGCCAATCGGAAAGATATGAGGACAAATGTGAAAAGAGTTTTAGATAATTCAGGAAAAGGCAAATGATTTCAAGGATATATTTCGAATAAGACTTTAATATATCTAATGAGGGTGAACTTCCGATAAGGATATTTCAGCACGTGTATACAGTTACATATTTATATTTTCCCTTCACTGAGGAGCGTCCTTATGACTTTAAATGTGATGATTGTCGGGAAGCTGGCGAGTTACATAGGTTACACTTCGTTGCAAAAAAGTTAGTATTTACATTTTACCGTCTGTGAGTAATAGGTAGTATTTAATATATCACTAGTCTATATATTTTTCCAACGCTCACTTCAAAAATCATTTTTTAAATAACTGTTCGGCAAAAGGATATTAGCATTTAACTGACGTTGAAAATATGAGTAGATTCTTGGCTTATAAGGTTGAATTTCAATAATTCATTTTTCTACAACTTAAGGCTTTCGGCAAATTCGGCTAATATAAATTATTAGCCGAATTTGCCTACTTTTATCAAGATATTTTAAAACGATTACATGAATACTTACAGCTCGAGTCATTGGTGGCACCGGAGGTCCACCTGCCTGAATACAAAGGTTCATATTATACTTTTAAATAAAAAACATAAAAACAAACTTCAAAAAGTATTTACTATATTTCTTTTAAGATTGCTTTCCACTTCAAATGCTAAGGGTGTTTGACGAGTACCTCTATGCGTACCTATCCAGGTTTCTGTCTGCTTATGACATTGAAGCACTGAAGCGAATAAACATTTATACAACCTTCTTTGTTTGTAAGTGATCTTTACAGGAAATAATTAAGTAATTAATTGGCTTGACCTGATTACAGCATCATTCCAAATAAATCCCAGCCTATTCATCGGCGACTTACAGTAAAGTATAATATTAAGGTATCATTAAACTATTGCAGATTATTTTATTTTTATTTATGCGGAAAACATTCAGTGTTATGTGTCTATACCTATAGCTAATAATATACGCCATTTCCATCTTTTCGCATAAATGTAACATTTTATTGCTTATTCGCTATGTCTATAATACTAGTGAGAGAACCGTCAAAAAACCGAGTAAGTGCGTCTTGAAAATTATAACGTGATTGGATTTTGAATTAGATAGGTCAAGTTTGGAAAACATTACCAGTTTGTTAACAGCATTGAAAGATCTTACTAAAAAGGATTTTTACCTGTAATTATTGGTGTATTGTGGGAGTAAGTCTATGGGCCGCCTACCAGAATGATTTGTGGATTTTTAAGTTTGAGTCTATTAGATACTATGAAATCTTGATCAATAATATGATGCCTGCTATTTCTTTGAATTTATACAAGGGCAAAATGTGGTATCAACGATATTTAGCCTTATAATTGTCGAAAAATTTACACTTGTATTGTAAAAATCAACACTGCACTACACTACACTTCAGGCACAAAAATATATTAGCTAAAAGTACCAAATATGTAATATCCGTGTCAAAACTAAGATTGAAAATTAGTATCGAAGCTCGTCGCATCCGAGTAGGCATTTCCAAGTAGATGAAGTGAAAATAATCAATATTCACCAAAAAGGTGACCGAACGTCTGAGTTACTAAATCTTAACAAGACCGTATAAATTCTTTATATTTATTACACTGCCAGTGACTTCCATAAATATTCGAATAATAATCTACCTAAACCTCCTTAATTTCTTAACAATTATTTTAACTTTGGAATAGATTGAAAATTGGTTTCATTACTTATAATAAATTTCGCCTTCATAATTTAATAATTTTCTCCTAAAGAAGAAATTAAAGTACAAGTATAAGCTACCCGTAGGTAGAAAAAGCAGGTCTTAGCGAACCATCGTCATAACGTCAACGCTTTTAAAAGGATCATTTTAACTTTCTACGACGCCGATTTTTTAGTTTCACTTTTTCTTAAATGGTGTGACTCAAATTGGCACGTTTAATTTTTCAAGTTTCTAATAGAATCTTCGGAATGAGTCAGATAGCAAAAAAAATACGAAGGAGGTTATCAAAACCTATCATTTAATTTTATATAAGGTTGAATCATGAATTAATTAGTAAAAGAAAATATACACATAAAGATCTGCCAACTTAAAAATAACTCAAATAATCCTTTTCGAGTCTGTTGTCCATGAATTGGTGAGGATTCGTCGTACAAACAAAAATAACCACACAAACTTTAGAGCATCTAAAGTGAAGTCAATGAGTCATCGCACCAAGAGTTCAAGAAATACTTTTTGACGATTGGTTATTCGTTTTCATCGTGCGATCATGCAAACAAGAATAGATCTCTTTTTGTGTCTTAATTGGACATCAAATGTGTTGATTGGATAATTTCCCGTCTTGACTTTTGAAATTTAAAGAACTATTTCGCACATTTCAAATTAAATTAAAATACATTTTCTCTGAATTTTAAAATACGGAACAGTTAAAAAGTTTTAAAATTATCCTCACAGGTTGTTGGAAACAGGTGTTTGTTCCAGCACCACCGCCGCGACATGCGCCGCCAGCTGCATTATTCACGCCACTCATTTCGACTTTAATGTGACGTACTTCTAACTCCAATTCCCCTAATTGTTTTTCCTGTTATAAATTAGATAAGTATATTGTATAAAAGACTGCAATTCTTTCTATCAAATTCTTCTGCTGCAAAAATCGATAAAAATACTAAATCATACTAAGGTGATTAAATATTCATTATCTTGTCGGTTATTTCCACTTGTAGGCGACAAGATCGCACCCACTGTAAACATGGATAACACCAAACTGGTGCACCACAAAAAATTTGAGATACTATCTTTGGTCATCTATCCCTTGATGGATCCTTGCGAAGATGTTATCCTCCGCATGGTAGATTGTACGTACTGATCACTACGCCATTAAGATCGACAATAACTAATTCCTGCTTTCTAATCTATTTTAGAACCAATTCTGTAAATAAACAATGCGCACTTACAAGTTCTACAGTGGAACTTTTGTAGTCCTCGAGTTTCGCAACAAGTTTCTGAGCTTCATAAGTTTTCTCGAGCTGCGAAAATAAAAGTGATAAAACACCGACGATCGCTTGCTACATTAGTAATAAAACCATCCAAGTGCATCTCGGACTCAAGAAAGTTCCATTAAAATATTTAATTTTATAAGGCAAGGGGATTCTTATTTTTACATTTCATATTTTTTTTCTGTATTCTATATATAAGAAAATAACTAACTTCAGGATATTCGTTACGGAAATACGAATTTCCATTTTTTAATTGGTCCAGTGCTTTCCGAATGAAATACCTGTGACAGACGGACGTACATTTTCGCGAGTATCCCTGAAAGTCTCAGCTTTTCCTTTACTGGCCTCTATACTTTACGTTAAAACAACCAACCTGAGAACATATTTCAATTTCGTTTTTAAATGTAGAATCTTGATTCATCGCAGTAGCATCACCCTGTAAATTAATGTCTTCGTTAAGCAAAACCAAAAGCTTCTATATTCTTCAATAAAATTGCGACATAGCGCGGGTAAAATTAAAATTGCGACATAGCGCGAGTATATAACTATTTATATATTAAAGCAAGTGAGGAGAAGTTCTGATAAATTAAGAAGCGTTGGTTATTTCCAACATATTAGCAATTTTGAGTACCATACAGCTTGTCTAGTAGTATAATACTTTTAAAACAGAATAGGTTTCGAATTCAACCGCTTTCGTGACCAACTTGATTTTGCAAATACCTCGGGATTGTTCTTATTCAACTTTTCATTCAGCATCATATTCTCACTGTGCATCAATTTCAGTTCTCCTTGGAGGCTCTTGATTTGAGCACGACAAGTTTCCAAGTTTTGATCCTTGGTCATTAACTCTTTATACAAAATGTATCTGAAATCATTAACATTACGTACCTTAATTTAGCCATTGTGTCCTCTGCGTTGCTCACTAAAGTTTCATTTTATTTTTTCTCTTTTTTTATGGACTTCACGCACTTTAAAGTGCGCTGTTTGTACTTTTTGTCAAATATATGGTAAACGTTACTATGGATACTTTTGACTTTTCGATTTATAAAATATTGTCCAGTCAACGTCAAATACAAAGAGTTCAATTATAATTCAACTAAAACCTTAAAGTTATCTCAATGAGGTAGCAAGCAAGTGATGATAATGATTCTACGCAACTTTATTATTTCATAGACCTAAGAGATTGAAATATGTAGTTGATATTTGAAATATAGGTAAATGCCTTTGGGTAAACAATGGGCAGACCGTATTATATTACTTTCAGTACATCTATAACAAAGAACGTTCCATAACTAACGCGAGCTGTAGAAGCGTATGGAACGAATCTATTATTACAGCCTGCAAATAAATGACAGGTGATATTAAAATTCTGACGAGTCAATTCGTACTGGTCTGCTGACAGAGAATTCTAAAATTCTTTTCTATCCCCTCCATCGACATGGTCTATTCAAATTGATTTGCGTTTACCTATGTATATTGTTATAATTGTATATTTTTGAACAGTGCCATAACTGCTGGTGCTTATTATACACACGGCCATTTACCAAACCTTTTACAGTTTAAAGTAGGTGGTTCGTTTTGCAGGTAGTTTTGCACTATTCGGCAAATATATAAAATGTCTATTTATTCCAAATAATTTCATTAATAACTAATAACTAATAAACCTATTTCATAATTTTATAATTGAAGTTTTAGTCATGGCTGGTACAGTAATATAAGGCATGGAATAATATAATTAATCATCAAAATCTAAATTCAAACAAAGATAATTCAGGCATTATGAAGATGTAACGTGAACCTTTCATAACATGAATGTGTTTCAAAACAAAAGACAAACATATGTTTTACCAAATCCCGCTGCTTGGTTACCCTAAACTGGTACAAAAACACTTTTGACTGTTCAATATGCCTGGTCCCTACCACGATTTTTAATTCACTTTATAAAATGCAGCTAATATTTGACTAAATACTAACTAGTTTAAATTCTACAATATAATAAAAGGTTATATGTGTAGAACCAATAGTTTATATAAGTCTAATCTGATACTTTCAGACCTCTTGACCTCTAAGTCAGCGTTGTCTGCCACCAACTTCTCTTGCATATCGTAGCTTTCACTCAGCTTTCTTGTGAGGTCAATTTCCTTCAAGAAAACACGATTTCTGTTAGAAAGGTATATTTTACAATTTTTTTCAAGAGATAATTTTGAATTTGACTTATCAACGTTTGATACAGTGTAAGGGACGTACAGATTTGCTTCGCATCGTTGGTTCACAAACAACCACTCCAGGGGCCTCAGGCAATCTACCACCCGCCAACAAAACAGTAGGATGATTCATCTTCATCTCATGATACAGTGCAGGATCTAAAATTTATTTTTTAGTTATAATTATATTAATTACACAATCAAAAATATTTCTTTGTGGAAAAACTCTTTTTAGATTATCATATGATTAAATTCTAACACAGTAGTTAAAAAAATCTCAAAACTGACTTATAATTAGGTAAATATTGTGTATATTGGACAAGGTGATATTAGTAAAAATAACAATACTTTTTCTTTTAAAACATGAAAAAAGGAACTATTTCCTTAGAGTAAAAATTAAGTTTTGAATCATAAATGCTATTGAATTAGAGGTAATAGTAGCAATTTAATCGGCAAAAATGCTACTAGTGTAGATCATACCAAGCTAAATAGGATAAGGATAATAAGTAAACATAATTACTTCAATTTGTAAGGACTTCAATATTTCTTCGGTTCCTAAAAACTCCTGCTACTGTTGTCGTTAATTTATTTGGTTTAACATTATATTTATACTGTCTTCTTTGTTGTTGCTTAATATAAAACATGGTTCTTACCATAACAGCTCGGTATGTACTCAGGGGGAGACAGGTCTTCTTTAGGTTTCTTGAAGACAGCCACTTCAGCTCCAACAAGACGCTGCACGTTTCTGGTCATGCGATTGAAGCGCTCCATTTCCCTGAGTAATAGCTCATTTCTCTCCGCTAGTTCTTTTATGTCAGCTTCCGTAAGAGTTGTTTTCTTGGGCAGATCGAAAATTTCAATGTTAATCAACATTTTCGTAGATTCACATAAAATAAAAATAATTTTTGGTATGGGGTAATGTAGACTTTGAATTGCTTCTGTTAACTTTAATAATATTGTTAGGATCAATGAATAGTTTAATTGTTTTGTATTTTTTTTATAAACCATTTTTAAATAGTGCTCTATCAACAATGCTATAGTGAGTGATACTATTTGAATTTAGAAAATTATTTCAAAAACTATTGAACTAATTTATTTATTTAGACTCTAGAAGGTAATATTATTAATATCATATGTATACCTTCATTACAATTTATGAAGCCAATGTAGTGCTGTTGTGATATGACCATACTATCTATGTTTATATCAAACAAAAGTATTATATAATACCTCGCAAGGGATACGGGATATAGATAGATAAGTATATGTTTGTCTTACATTAGTGACCTTTTGAGTTTGAAAGCTTTCGCATATAGTTGTATCAGGTCGTGTTACACTTTAGCGTCTATGTTGGACGGCTGCCAGAGTATCATAGCTGTCATGTGTATGGTACAAAACCGCGCTCTGTATGACCTACCAGAAGTACATACGTACGCAGAGATATACGTCACGAAAAATATTATTTACTAAAATATTACCTTTTGAATTTCAAGCAATCTAGCACGAGAATCCTTTATAATACGTGTGCTCTTTCGAGTATCGTTATACATTTCTCGAATCTGTTTAGTTAATGGATCGTCCATGTCCAGCCCTGAAGGGGAACCTGAAATTAAACAGTCACATCAATCTATCAAGTTTAGTTAACGCGTTATGTCTACGCTTGAGAAGGTTAAGCTAAAATTTTCTCAGATCGTTCCTAGTATGATTCAACAAAAATTTACTATCATAAGCTCACCCATGCTTCAGAAGTCAAGTTTAGCTATTGGACCCGACTGTATCTATCTATATAATTCTACCACATCCAAGCCGTGTACCTCTGCAGCGGAAGCATAGCATATAAGCTATGACTAACAGACTAACAGCAACATTACCCGTACAAATTTGACATTCATTAGAGCTTAAAGGCGTCATTAAACCTTAATGGACATTAGTGCAACTGACGGTTAAGTGATCAACCCTATAACAGATAGCTTAAGTTTTCTGCTATGTACTAAAAATAAATTAATGAATGGTTACTTTTTAGGCATGATTCTAGTACCCCTCGTTTGCGGCACGACACGTAGTAAACAAATGTATCCAAATTATTTACTGAAAAGTACTACCTGAGTTCTACTACAAAAACAATGTTAAATGAAATACTCACATGATCGACTTTTCTGTAATAATAAAATATTTTTATTATTAATACACAAATACAAGGGTTATGATAAACAGTCTCACAAATCACTCGATTGGACAATACGAAATATATCGAAGACATGAAAAAATATGCATACATACTTATTATTAAATACTTATATAATGCAAGCTTTTTCCCACGGCTTCGCCTGCGTGACATAATTTCATATCCAGTGCTTAAACACGTTTTATGTTTTTATCTTCAACGATGCTAATATTTCTCAGAAATTTTCATGTGTTATCAATAAAATTATCAATTTCTTTAAGCCCATTTTTCGCGTTTAAAACTACATTAAAATTGATGCAGTAGTTTAGGCGTGAAAACGTAACAATGACACAAACACTTTGGTATATCCTTACCCGCATCACAGTTTTAAATCGGCTGGGCATATAGACAAATGACTGTCCCTATCAACGTCATTTACGTATGGTCGGAGGATGGTGAATTGCACATAAAATAATATTTTTAATTAATTACTCGCAACCCATTACGATTATTGTGTATAAATGTTGCATATGAACACACATATTTATCAATTTTAGCTATGATATACAATATATCACGAGAAGAAATTAAAAAGTTGTAGTTGTTAACTTTGTTATAATTTACAAAATGAAATTGAAGACTTAAAAAAGGGTATATGTTATTTTATTAGATTTCTAATTAATCACTTTCGATCCTTTGCAAGCTTCATGATCCGATTCTGTGTTCAGTCTATTAAAAAGCCGTTCAAAATCTGTTTAATGAAATAGTTTACAGAGAATTAAAAGATAAAATAACGTTAGCTGTTTTTGTTGCCACTGCTTCTTAATTAATCTACGGCCTGACTTTGTAAATTGTTAGCCGAGTGCTTTTTCACTTGCAAAAGCGCTTATAAATATTCTAAACTGAATAGCCTATTTAAAAGGGGATTGATAAAATTAATATGTATAGCAAAAACTAACCTTTTTACGAAAGATGGGGAAGATTAAAACATACAGTTACAGTACAGTATTTCAGGCAAGAAATATTGTATTGTGAAAAGAAGCTGAAGATTAACGAAATTTTTGAAGTGTGTTTATGAATTCATCGGTAACTAGCAATGACTAGTCTTGATACTTACTTTTTTTTTCTATAGAATTAATTAGTAAATATTCGTTGGCATGTCGACTTCTACAATAAAATGAATTATTAATGAAGTACCTTCAAGATATGAAGACATTTTCACGCTCCAGGGAAAAATAGGAACGGTGAAAAACAATAAATAAATGAAAACTGATTTGATTTAGATGTATAAGCGCAACATATAGATGTAATATTAGTAGATATTAGCAATAAACAAATATATAAAGCTCCTTTTATTTATTCGTATAATATTTTGGGTGAGGTAAAATATTGTTGAGTTTTTCTATCTGGTAAGGTGCTGTCAAAATTTAATATTAAATGTTGCTATATTATATCCCAAATAGATGAATAATCTATGTCAAAATTTGCCGTAATCGTAATTCGGTCAGGATTATGTTCAATGCTATGAGACAGTAATTGGAAACGTGTTATTATATTTAAATATCACAAGTATCAAGATTTCTTTGTCCATATTCCCCAATTTTGTCTTCTACAAATTAAAAATTCCCATTTTGCCATCAGATTCTAGTATACCTATACTAATGCATTTTTACTTCTGCTCAAACTATAATCACACATGCTTAACGCTGATAATACGCAGTATTATTTATAGTAATTTATATAGTAAAGTAAAGTTTGAACACACTGATCATGAAGGTAGAGCCTTATCTATATTCTTTTCTATATCTACATTACCTTTAGTGGATTCCCACGGCAGCATTTCGCCTTTTCCTGCTTTCTGATGTTCTGTTCATATTCTTTAACGCAATTGTTATTCCTCAGACATTTCCTATCATCGTCTCTGTGCGGGCTGTGTGTTTGTCGATACATGGTGACCGAGCTACCTTTGGTCGGCTTATCGTCACCTGACTGAAGTTGCTTATCTATGCGCAATGCTTGTGGTTTGTCTTCGTTTTGATTCGCATGCTATAAATATTTTCAGATATAAAAAAATTACGATTAAAGAAATAAAAAAAAAACTTGACGCCTCAAGCCAGTAACCAGCAAGCAGGTATCATCTCTATAAATCGTCTATCTGTTACAAGCTTGTGTCTTTATTGTGACTGTTACAACAACGAATAATAATTTCAACAGTTTCAATACTACGAATCTCTTTTGTTTGTAAATGTAATATAATATATTGAACCATAAAATGTATGTACTCATTTTTAACTATTTGACCGTACGCCCGTTAAATGTGTAAGGTTCCATCATTAAAATCATTTTGTGTTAAGTTACCATTTTTGAGTGAGTTTAAAAAATCCTTTAGTACATCAAATAGGGTTTTAAATGTTAGTTACCAGTATTATAATTAACAGCAGCCGACTTTCATGTGCCATACTAGATCATCACCAGCAATTTAACGTCCCCACTGCAGGGATTCAGGCCTTCCTTATGGATGGTTAAGGAGGATGGGCCATGACCCTCCACGCTGGCCAAATGCGGATTGGAGGGTAGCCATACTAGATACGTTTAATGAAAAATCCTTAAAAATTTCACCAGTCCCAGGAGCCTTGAGATGAGACTCGCACTCACAACCTTTCGCAATCCGAGCGACTGAAGGTGATGAACCTGAACTGGACATTGGTGATTTTAGAAGCATTTTTCATTGAAGTTATTTATCATTGTGAATACAATATTAATCAAATATAATAACCAACTAGAATTCAACTGTAACTGGTGATGATTATTCGATTTACAAAAGAATACCGAGGCGGCTCGCACACACGTTTCAATGTGTCTTTATGTCTGAGATTCCGGATTCTTGGAGACCCAATCGAGTCAATGTTTAAAAAATGAACATTCCTCAGATTCAGAATTCAGATGTTATTTATATAGAATCTTTATTGTAATTAATTTCTATTACATAGCGATTTATTTTGGCAACAAAGCAATAAATGTAATATTGTCTTAGTATTTAAGATTCAAATTGGAGTCCTTACAAGTCGCGATTCCGAAATCGAGTGACCGCCTCTAGGTGATTTGCCAAAATCAACTTTAACAGGCAAGTCGGTAGAGTTCTCGCTGATTCCTGGTGAACTCAGCGTCGTGAGCACAGGAGAGACACTCTGCGGTGATCTATTAGCTCGGGAACTTACACGTATTTTAGGCACAAGCTTGACTGACTGAAAAGTGTCAAAACCTTTAATAATCGTAATCGTTATAATATTGGGCATTTGAACATATTTTACATATCTGAGCGAAATTTTCTATAATGGTACGTATAGTTATATATGTACGTATAGCAGTTTATGCGTTATTAAAACTTTTTTACTTTTACTTTGAGATCTTTCGATAATATATCTTAATGAATGATATATTATCAAAAATGATATTTTCACGACTGGTAAAGAGAATTTTGAAAATAGTACAGTAGTAAGGCAGTTAACATTTATTGTTTTTTTTTTTAATTTCTTCTTCATAATATTAGTATAGAAACAATGTGTACGAAGGTGTACTTTAAGTACATTGGGTTATTGAACCCACGTTTCATTTGAAATGCACTTTAGGTTTAATATATCACTGAACGCTCAGTGTATTTCGATGGAATCTAATTATATCAATTCGAAAGCAATGTAGTAACGGGACCAGCCTGCTGGTCCCCCCGCTGTGCGACCAAACCTTTAAGCTCATACCGGCAATTATTAGGAAGGTATCCTAAAAATATTATCTCGTCACATCTCTATTATAGAAGCACACTTATAAATTTTTAACTATCATAGCAATTTGGAAATTAGAGAAGGTTGTAGTTATTTTACTCTTTGTTTTGATAAATGTGACATCCGGGACCTACTTGATTATTATATTCGGATAATAAAAAAATATCCATTGAAGTAGCGATCTACACACAATGTGAATAGAAGCATATCTGAAATTCCAGTCAACTATAGAACCATTCCTAAATCTTACCTTCATCACAATCCTTTACACAAAACCTAAAGATTATATATAAATACACAGTCACCAAACAGTAGCGAAAATTCTTACAAAATTAAACCCAAAAATTATTGAATACTGCCTTGTCATAG